TGTCTAGTTGGGCTGCGTTTTATGTTAACCAGCAGACACAGAATGCTGCATCATAGTGCAGTGGCTTCCTGACCCTGCATCATAGTGAAACCTGTGCTTCCTGAAGGTAGAAGCCCCATCGCTGGGCCAGCTCCCCAGCACTGGGCATCAATCCCAGAACCAGCCAAGTCCAGAGCCAGCCACACAGCTCAGCCAAGCTTATTGTAAGCATCCAGTTATCTGTGTGGAACACCTGACTTGTTTAGCTAAACTTTTTTCCTTGCAACTGAACTGACTGATAAAGATAGGAATTATTATTTGGGCTCATAAATTCAGGTTAAGAACAATGGATGTCAGAGACTGAACTTAAATCTAGCCCTGTTATCTATAAAGATAACACATTTACACAGTACCTTTACATTGCTTCCAAAGCAAATCCAAACTAATAAATATTAAAGACGCACCAATTCCCTTTCTGACAAAAATTCAGAATATATAATTTGAAACCCAGTCTTCTCCCAGCAGGTAGGGTGCTGGCAAAGTGTAATCAACATCCTTTCAATTGCATGTTTTTCTTTTAGGACAAAAAAAAAAAAAAAAAACAAAGCAAACATATGAAGTTGCTCTACTATTTGTAACTCAAGGCCTTGGGCTTTAATAGTGATACCACATAAGGACATAAGGTGTGTTTTTGGTCCAAGAAAGTTGCAGATTTGAAACTGAGATTCACACATCAAGTCAAAATACTAGCGGCCCATGCCCTCAGTGAAACCCTGTCTGTCTTAGTCTGAGCTCTGAATGGAGAAAATACCTATTTTAGAATTCACAGTATTCTAGATGAACCTCACGTGGTTCCAATTTATATTTCCAGAATAGTACAGGAATTCCCAAGCTGACAAATTAACATACAAATAGTTCTAAGGCACATTTTCATGGGATTTCTGGTAGAAATAAATGCAAGTTTTATTTGGAGGGATGCATTCTCACATGATTCCCATAGATGAAGTGCTGTCACTGCTGAACTTAAAATCGACAGCCATAGAGCACTGGAAGAAATAATGTACCATCAACAGAAGTCAATAGAAGCAATAAATTGTAACACTAGACCCTCAAAAGGCAGGCAATAAAACTATCCAACCATATAAAATACTCTTGAAATGATTAAAAATATGCAAGATGAAATGGAAAACAAAATATCTGAAAGGATGAAATATTTTGAAAAAAGAAAGGCAGATTTTTTTAAAAGAAACTTCTGGAAATAGAAACATGTAGTTTTTAAAAGTTAATACTCAGTGTACAAAACAGCATGTTAAATACAGCTTAAAGGAGAATTACTGAGTAAAAGAAACACCTCAAGAATATACAGCACAGAGAATACCAGCATAGAAAGTGAAACAGGGCATTAGTGACATGTGGGTTAGGAGAGCAATTTTAATATGTGTTTAATATGAGTTCCAGGAGGGAAAGGCAGAAAGCATGAGGTGATATACCATAGTTGCAATTCTTCCAGAACTGATTAAAGATATTGTTGCTTCCAGTCCCTCCATGTTTGGATTCTGATGCATGTCTTCCACTTTGCCCCTCATTGGGGAAGAGGTAAGTGGAGAAGGGTGTCACCAAAATTAAGGGACCCAACCTCAGAGTATTAAATTACAGAGACAACCAAGAGGACTGAAATAAAGTGCCTCAGAAAGTACAGCTGAAGCTGATTTTAAGGCTATCATGCAAAGAGCCAAAAGCCAAGAATGACAGCTGATCACTGTGGCTTGTCCCCAAATGCCACATCGACAACCTTAATTGTGCAGTCAACATGGGCCAACACCTGCATTTTGAAAAAGCTTAATTACATTTTTTCATAGAAAATGTCAATCATTATTTAACAAGTGATATTGAAAACCAGAATCCCTTCTTTCAGAATGTGCAAACTTTTCTACTTTCATTGAATAACTTCAAGTTTGTAAAGCTCTCCTAAATTCACCTATTTATGTACAGAATGCTATATGTACTTTTTATGCCCATGCCTTTTTATGCACATTGTTCTGAAAAAAGATATGGCCTTTTTTTTTTTTCACATTAAAATTAACGTAAAATATGGCACCAGGAAATATGTCAAATGTATCCTTGGAGCTTATTTTACACACTCTAGGATGGACTTTAAAACTGAGTACATATTAAATAGGTAACATCATGCAAATATGTCCTAATCATATCTTTTAGCTTTGAAAAAGTGCTGGAAATTACAGAACTCTTAAATAAGTTATTTATTATCAGTTCAAGAGCCAATGTTTCACTTGATTTGTTTTTACTTTGTTTGGAGGATCAAATTAGTTTCCCTTTTGATAAGCAAAAGCAATGATTAGTATTATATTAGTCCTCAAATCCAAAAATTTAAAACTCAGTTTCTTCAGTTGAGAGTGGGACAAGCAGGTATCTATTTGATGCAAATGTCTGGATGGTTGCAAATATCTAACCTTTTATTTTAACAAATGTATTTTCATGGTGATTTGCCAGAAGTAGTGGTTATCACAGCTTGGTGTCTAGACCAGTTCCTTGAGTATAACCTGGGGAACTTGTTAGAAGTGTAAGTTGTTCAGTCTCATCCTATATCTGCTGGATAGGAAACTCTGGGTTGCAACCCAGACATCTGTTTCAACAAGGCCTTTGTTGAATGATTTTGTTGTATACCAAATGTTGAGAACCTCTGGCCTGAAGACACCAATGCAGCAGAGGACACAGTTCAAGAGAAAAGGTAGCATGTTTTGGAGTTTCAGGTATTCTGAGGCAAGAAAGTGTGTGTCTTTGTAACCTCAGCTATATTAGAAACACATTTTCTAGAACTAGGGAAAAAGCCTCAATATTATATCACTAAGAGGGGCATAGACAGATCAGGAGTCACATCTGCATCTGAGGAATGGTCCCAATCCAGACTTCTTTCACCATCCACAGCCTTTAAGCAAACTGGCTGGGACTAGAGCTAATGGGAATAGAAACCACTTACACATATGTAAGCATTTGTGAATCTGTATACTTAGGCCAATATTATCTAAACAGGAAATATATTTAATAATAAAACTGCTGTTAATTATGAGGCACAGAGCTTAGTTTTATTTTTCCTTATGTAGGTTTTATTTCAAAGTAGGTTGTTTGTGATGGTTAATTGCATGATTGTACGGTGACCAAATTAACTTCATTTTTTTGTATGTCTGTGAGTGGGTTTTCAGACAAGATTATCAGACCTAAGAAAGTAGGTCGTCCTATCCCCTATGGGTGGGCTTCATCCAAATGGAATTCACCACCCCCATTTTTTTCTCATCTCCTTTCACCAGCTACTTCCCCAGTTCTAAGACTTTCAGATGCAGATTGAATCACACCGTCTGGAATAAATTACAGAAAGAATCGCAGTTTGCCTGGTTTTCCAGCTCAAGGAGGACTGATTGTGGGGCTTCTCGGCCTCCATAATTACATGAAAAAGTTCCTCAATTTATATATAGATCTGACTCTATTAAATATATTAAAATATATTAATATATAAAATGTGAATGTGTGATATCAATATATATAAGTAAATATCTCAAATATATGTAATATATTATATATTTGAGGGATATATATATATATATATATATATATATACAATTGGTTCTGTTTCTCTGAAGAATCCTGATGAATACAGTGGCCTTTATAAAGGATTGCTAGGCCAACAATTCTGCCAGTTAATATTTTTTCTCTCAAGGAAGAATGACTACTCTCAATCATCTTTACAAGATGGTTTCTTTGGAGAGACAGTGACTTTGGGACATGAGTCTCACCCCTGACTGCACATTAGAATCATCCCTGGGGAGGGGCCAAGCTTTTTAAAAATACCGATGCCTGATTCACACTTTTCTCCTCTACCAATTAAGTCAGAATCTCCAGGATCAATTTTAAAAGCTCTCCAGTGTTTCTGAAGTCTAGTCAGGATTAAGAACCAGTTTCTTTAGAAAACAGAAAACAAGAAAGAAGTTCAGGTAAAGTCCAGGAGACCTTGAAAACTGGACAGAGAAAGGACCATAGAGTACCAGCTATTGCCTTATATGACAGAGTGCACCGAGTCCGGGATTTCTCTGTGGCATACTCATTCCTATATTGTCTTATAGCATGTATTATATTCGTTTTTGAACTTTTCTCCAGAGCTCCTAATCTTCAAAATTAGATACCACTGTTTCCACGTGTCTGGGTCTGAATGATGCACAGAGTCATCACTGGCTCTCCTGGAGGCAGCGAAGAGATGCATGATGATAGACTAGAGGAAAAAAACAAAGCAAAGTTTTCATCTCTCTGGGGGCTTCCCTGCAGGACAGGTGGATGGCTTACTAATTCTTCAAAACCTTACAGACCCAGGCTCACTTTACAGCAGGCTTGTACTAATCTGAATCCTCCTTTTTGTGTCAGGCTGCATTTGATCAGGAACTGTTTTCAAAGACATTTTGACTAAAAGAGGCTTCCTGGAGCTTCCCCATCTGTGAAACAAAGGCATGAGAGAACCTCAAGAGTCCATGTGAATGTGAAGATAGGGTCTGGAAATTGTCTAGCTGAGGGCTAGCCATGGGTTTCTGTATCACAGGAAGGTTTAAAGAATGATCCTACAAAATGCCAGTGTCAGGAGGGGCTTTAAAAATAATATTATGTAGGGCCTCCCCAGTGGTGCAACGGTTGAGCGCTGGGTTGCGAGGCTGCCCGCAGCCTCTGCAGCACCGGTTCGATCCCCGGCCGCCCGCTGCTCCCCTTAGCAGTATACTTTGTCGGTCTGCCTGTTCTGCTCTCCACTGTAGCTCTGGTGAATTCTCTCACCCTCCCATGCTTCTGACTGTACCCAGTGCTTGTATAAATAAATAAATAAACAAACAAACAAACAAATAAATAAATAAATCTATCTTATGTAAAAGGTTGGGGAAAGATTGTATATCAGGTTCTGGAAAGGAATGTTCCAGAGAAAAATGTACAACAGCTTGTACAATCATGCAGAGGATACAAGTAGCTGCTCTTGAGTAACTGTGCTAACAATACCTTTGGTGATCACAGTATTCTCCAACTGTATTTGGCAATTACACAAATACTGTTCAGATCCAGTGAAATCAGTGTTCTGTGAAAACTTCCTTCAGAAAAGGCTGCTTCAGGTCAACCATTCAGTGTTGGTTGAGAAATATGAGGGCTGGTTTCTGGGGCTGGTTTCTTTTCCTCAGTTTCTTTTCCTTTTTGCACTCCGCTCACACGCTGTTCTGCTCACCCTCAGAAAGCTGGGTGCTGTTCCTCTTCAAAATCACTAAAATATTCTGAACCCCAGTCTATTGATCTGAAAAATGAAGAAGTGGACCAACGTATTTGAATCATATTTCAGACAAAATAATTATTTGGTTCTACACAAATAAGAGTGGATTTTGTATTCATGGAATTATCTATTTGCCTTGACTGGTCAATTCAATGAAGGGCTTTATTAATCCTTTCGGAAGATGATGATAGGAAATGTTCTAAGATCAAGATCATGTTGTTGATATAATTTCAGATACAGAGTTCTTTACATTGCTCTAAAATTAGAACTAGACCTTTTCAGAAACCCAACAAATGTCAAGTGGACTTTTTACACTGGAGTCTTTCCAGAGAGTGAATTTACACAGCGTTATTTTTAATTGCCTTGCAGCATAGTCTAGTTCACACTGTCCAAGTGAATGTAATTGTGAGACTTGTAGTTTTTTTAGTCAGATCCCAAACCTCCATATAAATAACTCCAAATCATCATCTTATATCAAATGTGTGGTGAAGGAAATTTTGCCTTGCAACTTTGTCTATTTAAGTTATGCAGAAGATCAGGTCTTAACTTTCAGGTAAAATAATCTTGGATCTTCATTTTTAAGCTTCAATGTGATTTAAAAAATGTAACCCTGGGTTCTGCCTGTCTCCTCTCTCTCTTACTCTCCCTCCTCTCTCCCCTGTCCTCTCTCCTTCCCGCATGGTGCTCAAATACTTTACACAAGGTTATGATGGGAAGAGATTTTAGGATCAGATGGTTTAATCCCAACCCAACCTTCATGTTATATAAAAGAATATTATTTCAAAGAAGAAAGTCCTCAACAATCAAGACTGTTGTGAAATGACAGCCTTGTTCTTTTTCTTTCACTCCCTAGCCTATATCTGCTCTTATTAAAAACAAGACCCCAAAATGACTTGGTGGTTTGAAACAATCTTCAGAACTTTGTCAAGATGATAACATTTCTCTTTCTCCAAGCACGGGGTTTTAACAGCATTGGCCGTCAAACATTTTATTTTCATAGTCACACTAGACCCTGAATTAATCATAAAATAGCCTCCTTTTTTCAGTTCACACTTGGTATGTTCTCTGCTTCAAAATATATTTTAGGAAACTATTTCTACTTTTGTGTGTGCATGAGAGACAGAGACAGTGAGAGAGCATGAGAGAGTGAGAGAGAATTTTCTACTTGTGATTCTTCCATATTCATAGAATTCATGTAATGAATAGAATTCTAAATTCTCCCGTTTCCCAGTTTACCCTCCAAGATTTGATGTCAGTGAATGATGTCAAAATGAAAATAAAGCATGAAGCTTTGTATTCAACATGTTCAAGGTTTATGTGAACTTATTTCCTGTCTGGTACAGCATCTGTCAGGAATCACTGCCCTTGAAAGTTTGACGGTGTGGGGATGAAAAAGGTACAGACATTTTCCTGGTCCCTTATTTAGGTTTCCTAAATTCCTGCTATGAGTGAGACCATTCAGCATTTTTCTTTTTTTTTTTTTGGCTTATTTCACTGAGTATGATTCCTTCCAGCTCTACCCATGTTGCTGCAAATTGCATGAGTTTATCTTTTTTTGATTGCTGAGTAATATTCCATGGTGTATATGTGTCAATTCTTCTTGAGCCAGTCATCTATTTTTGGGCATTTGGGCAAGGTATCAGGAAAAAGGACTAATTATAATAAAGAAAAAATCAAAATCAACAAGCAACTATAAACCAGAGACACACGGTGGGGTTGGGGTAGAAGGGATTAGGGTCAAAATAAGGGGGGGTTGGGAATTGTATGGGGAATACAACCAAAATGAAAATGCATACATTGTACAAAAATGAAAAATGATGTAAGAATTATATAAAATAAAAATATATTTTAAAAAAGAAAGAAAAACGTACAGACACATTCACCATCCTATATATGGGGGTCTGTGCTGTGCGCTGTCGGAGAAGAACGTTAGTTAGTGTGCTTGGGGGACAGAGCAAGTCTGGCAGGGTAGAGTTATTTTCATTGTGAAAGAGGCATTCAAGTTCATTTTGTAAGTAAAAATAGGAAAGGGGAAAAGCATTTCAGAGAGCATGTTTATCAAGTTCCTGAAAAGTCCCTGGATGTCAAGAGAGCTAAATTCATCACGTGACCCAGGTTTTGTAAAAGCCATGAAGCTCAGCCCTGCCTGCGTGTGACTGCCTAAGATCCATCTGTCACTCACACTGGGGACCAGCCAGATGTGCTCCTCATAGGTGCCCCCAGCAAGGTGCAGTCACTAGAGCATGGACAAGAGCAGGGGGGATGCTGGGCTTGGCTCTCTCAAGAGTGCTATGTTTGGATGAGAAGCTTCAAAATAACTTCCTCCTTGGCCAGGTCATGGCCACACTGAAGAGCGGACGCTTGGTGTGCAGAGAGCCAGGATCTCCAGATGGGGAATCAGAACTAATGAGAGTTTAACAAGACTGCTATGTGTAAAGTCAGTCAAAAGAAAAACAACAATTATAATCTCATCTATCATAAAACACTATTAGAAAGGAAAAGGAACATTTTACTGTTTAACATATGACAAAGGAAGAAAAATTTTCCTCTACCCATTTTAGACTTTCAGCTGGGGCTTTGTAACAAAAGACAGAGAGAAAGTACACCAATTTATATAAGAGATTTTTGTATCCTGGGAGACCTCATAAAGGCAATGAAACACAAAAAGTGGCAAAATCTAAATATTTATATATTAGCTTAAACAAAGAGGCAATTGTGGAAAAGTAAGCAAAACATATGGGCAAACAAAAGGAAGATAAAAGTTATTTTAACAAGGTCTGTTCCTGAAGTATTTTCTCAGCACTGACTCCTCCCCTCTGGTGATAGAAGGATCCACTATTCTGTACCAGGTACAAGGAGGGCATCCACCCATGGGCGTGCATCTCTGCACTAGGAAGGAAAAGAGAGGCCAGAACACCCCTCTGGCATGTGTTCATTCTCAAGTGCCTTTAGCCCAAAACAGTGGCCTTTTTTGAGGTGGCAACACTCCACTCCTCTATGCATTAAAAATACCAAACAGCTTATTTAAGTTTTCTAAATTCCTGCTATGAATTCATTTATTCTTCTTTTTCTTTCTGGCTTAAGAAAAAGACTAATTATAATAAGGTAAAAATCAAAATCAATAAGCAGCAAGCAACTATAAACCAGAGACACACTATGGGGAGGTGGTGGTGGAGGAGGGAGCAGGATCAAAACAAGGCGGGGAGGGAATTGTACGGGGACTATAACCAAGATGAAAATGCACACATTATGCAAAAATGAAAAATGATGTAAAAAAAAATCTATAAAATAAAATAAAAAAATGCCAAAACTGAGTGACCTATCTAAGGAAAAATATGCAAAACTTCTAGAGAGGAAAAAATTACTTTGGTTTGCTATATTATTGGAGATGTAAATGTGGTGCAATAGCCGCCATGACTTCATATGGTTACAAGACCAATGAGAAGACCAGTCAGAATCTGAGCAGAGAGCTTGTGGAATTTGAGCAATTGTTTTCATTTATTATTTGTTTGGGAGATCATATTTTTTTTTCATGTTTGATATTTTATTATTTATTCATTTATTTATTTGTGAAGTACTGTTAGTTTATATCCTTGTTAATTTTTTGAGTATAGGATTTCTCCCCTCAAATGTAGTTGTCGTAGCTCTCTACCACCAAATCACCCATGTCCTCCACCAGAGGCCATTGTGCTGCCACCCTCTTCTCACAATTGTGTTTGAAATTCATGTGAAAATGTAAAAGTCCTAGAATAGTCAAAGACAAATAAGGAGAGAGAACTTGCTCTCTTCACTATTAGCAGTGATCATAAAGCTAGAATAAATGTGATAGCTTGGGTAAAGGTTGAAGATAGACAAATAGACCAAGAACACAGAATAGGAAGCCATTTACCTTGCTACCTGATATGCAAATATTAATGATATGCATGTGTTTTAGTGCTTAATAGATGACAAGGTGGCACTAACAAATCAGTGGTGTTGGAATATTTAACATTCATGTAGAAAGAATAGAACTATCTCTTATCTCACGTTATGGAAGAAAATCAATCTAAAAATGCATGCTGAAATATGAAAAGCAAATCAATAAAGGCTTTAGAAGATAATATAGGGGTGCTTCACTTTTCCCTTTTATTACAAAGAAACACATCTTAAAAGAACACAGACATTAAAATAAAAATTGACAAGTTTAACTAAATTGAAATGAAGAATTTCTGTTTTTAAAATATCACTATCAAAAGGGTGAAAAAAGACAAAACATTCAGGAAAAGATCTTTGTGACAATCTAAAGAACTCATATATCAATAAGAAAAAGGCCAGTTGGGGAGAAATGGTTGAGACTTGAAGAGTTATTCCACAAATGGGGAAATCCAAATGCTCTATAAACGTAAGAAAAGGGACTTTGATATTTTTAGTACAAAAAGAATGCACATTAAAACCTCAGGAAGTCATCACTACATATATAAGTCCACTGGTGAAAATGTAATGGTCTGAAAATGCCCAGTTTTGGTGGGAAAGTGGAGCAATGGAGCTCTTTTTTTTTATTTAAAGATTTATTTATTTATGCATACAAAAACTGGGGTACAGGCCAGAAATGGGGTAGTGGTGAAAGCATTCCCCAGAGACAGAGTGGGGAACAGAACAGGTGGACTGACTGAAATACACTGCTGAGAGGAGCAGTGGGCAAGACAGGAGAGGTTTACTGCCCCATGTGGGTAGCTCCCTGGCTAGGGATCAAACTCATGCTACAGAGGCTGCAGATAGCTTCACAGTACTGTACTTAACCCCTTGTGCCACCAGGCCCATCAATGGGAACTCCTACAGTGCCACTGAGAAGCCAATGCCAGGAGGCAACTTCATCTGCCAAATTGAAGGATGTGTCTCTGTCAACCCGAGGATGAGCCATCCTCCATGGGGTGTACCGCAGAGAAACTTCTGCCCATGCACACCAGCAAGCATGGATGATAACCTTCAGAGAAATACTCTTGAAATACCCCCAAAGCAGACACAAGGATATCCCCCTGCTGGCA